TAAAGAATGTTCCAGGTGTTTTGTATATTAAAGTGTACGCATAGGACACATAAATAAAATCTTATATCACAATTTTTCACCTAACCAGTTGGTTTATTTATAGAAATTAAACATAATAATTGAAGATATACAGAAGAAAATAGGAAAATAATTATAATTATTGTTAGTTTCGTTATGTCAAATCATTTATACTAGAGGTGTGAGGAAAATACAGTGAACTGTGGAACGCCAATATCGTTGGATGCGCATGGTAGAAATGGTCCTAAAAACATAGCTAAATTTTCATGGAAACACTATACTTTTGACATTTGCGATACTCCGACGCATATGCATTATTGATGTAATCTCATGATTTTACAGTAATAGTTTTTGCAATTTTAGTGTGATTTTTAGGTTATTATGGTTATTCATTTTATTTGGTTCTGATCTTTTGCGCTTTTAGAGTATTTGTCTTTTATATAGTTTTTAATTTGAATTTTAATATTGTGGTCTATTTATATTTGATTGCTGCTTTTCGACTAGTGCTTTATTTTTTTTGTGTTAAAATAAGCTTTATAACCATTAAGTACATGCTTCTAGTTGATATCTACCTAATCGTCATCGGTTGCTTGCAACAATGGGAAAAAGTGTATGGTTTTTTTGTGTGTAAAGTTAGACGCCTTCATTTTTCAGGTAAGTTATTTGTAGCTATTTTTTACTTAAAAGGATAGCAATACGTCCTGGTTCGGGGTGTGACTTTTGGGTTTTAGCTATCTGAGCCAAATATATATATATATATATATATATATATATATATATATATATATATATATATACAACGGAAGAGTTAATTGGATTTTCTCCTTGTTGAGTTTTAAAAATAGTAATTTAACATGATTTAAAAACAAATACATGAAATGGGCAAAATAGGCCTACAGAGGAACTTTGTAAACAATCTCACTTGTATCGATGTGACGTAATGCGCGAATTCAATCTGGCTTACTTTTGTTAATAGATTGGCGTTGCATTTTAAATATACAGTTCACCGGGAATAGATTATTTAAATATACACGGACCGGGAAAACAAGTACGAAAAAATTCATTGGCTCCTGGACTAGTACTGTATCGAAGGATTTTTTATGAATGAAACAATATACGACCCTCCACAATTGCTGTCTACTCAACTTCCGCTGTTGTCAGACATTTTTTTTTTGGACAATTTAAAGACCTAACAGTAATTCAAGCAAACGCAATAACATTACTACAGTTAAAAACATCGCAAACTTGGCATCAATATTTTAATTTTATCCAAATATTGCATTTCTGTCGAGGATCATCCGCGTTGACTTCAGAAATTGTGTAATCTGTATTGGTTATATATATCTATAGTTAAAAGCACGTAAACTTGGCATCAATGTTCAATCCGATTATTGAGTTTCTACGCGGACACCACCGTTCATTCTTTAAAAATTTTGTAAATAATCCTATCTGTCTTGGTTATATATCTATGGACACGACCTACCTACCGGCATGTATTTTGACCCGCTGAATCCGAATTTCAAGTCAGTTTGGGCCGTCCACCCTTCAATTTCGAGTAAATAAGTAAAAATAAGATAATAAGTAATAAATTTATGAATCGAAACCAAGCATAATTCTTATGTATTTCGATCCGCTGAATACTGCGGAGGTCATTTGAGAACAAAAAAGTTTGATACCAAAAAAAAACAGTTCAAAATCTGAGAAAATCTTTCGCCTCATTCAGTTCATACATCAGTTTTTAAAGATATTTCAAGGGTGGATTTTAAAGGGTGGACGGCCCAAACTGACTTGAAATTCGGATTCAGCTGGTCAAAATACATGCCGGTAGGTAGGTAGGTCGTGTCTGATGTACAAACAACTTTTTTTTTGTGTGCCGGTGTATTTAATGAAAGCTTTGAATTCAATACTTAACTCTTAACTAATGTGAGGAATGAATCTGATCCACCTTAACGAGTTTAGCAATATTGGGATCAAAGTCACTTAAAAACAGGCGTAAGTCTCTGCGTTCAGTAACATGTAGCCTATTTCTCTTCTTAGTTAGAAGTGTTTTTACTGCACTAAATCCACGCTAAATCCATGATGGAAATACTATTAGGAATCGTTGAACCGTTGACCATAATTAAGGTTACAGTAGTTGCGGGATTGACTTATGCAACCAAATTTCGTGCTAACCATTTTTGAATTTTAATTTGTAATACCTCATTTGTTGTCACTTCTATAAGTCCTTCTTCCAACTGGGATGATCCTGCTGTGTCGACATTTAAAAAAGGATCTAACACCCATTCTGGTATATTTATGCTCAAAATGTCCTGGAATGGTTCTTTGGAATCAGCGTAATATTCTGCAATTGTTGACAGTAAACAAGCAAGTCATCATTGTTGATGTTGGAAGATATTGCTGATAAACTAAGGAAGTTATTAAATTCACGCCTGCCCATGTTTCTTTTGTGAAGTTGCAGTTTGGCCACGAAAGCAGCAACAACATTTTTTTGTTTTAATCAAGTATAAGTCGTCGCCTTGAAGTTGGAGATTACCATCATTGAACAATTTGTAGAGGACTGTCAAGTAGGCGATGTCATGCATTGATGTGATGAGGTTATCTCGTAATTCTCTGTCTTTGTTTCCCAGGAATTCTATCACATAATCAAACAGATTGTAAAAGCGAGTCGAAAAATCTCTCTTTGAATATACAGGGTGTTTCAAAAAGGTATGTCATAAATGCATCCTCAGATAGTTTACCAAAAAATAAGTGGATTTGGCTATATTTACCTATATCATAAACTGTCTTACAACAAAGTTACAGGTTGTTAAAATAACCTTCAGAAAAACGTTTTTTTTTTTGTAAAATGTTTGCTGTTGCGATTTTTTCTTCGAAATTTTTGCCCAATATTCTAAGAAGAAAAAAATTTAAATCGAGCACTTTAAAAAAAGTTGGGGGGTTGGGTACCTTTTAACCCCCGTATTTTTTTTTTTTCGACATAAAGAAACTTGCTTTATCGATCCTAAAATTAAAAAGAACTATGAATTTGCAAAATTTTTTATAGCGAAATGAACTTTGTATCTTTCCTAGTTAACGAGCTATTTACAATTTTTTAACTAAATTTCTAGAGCAATTCGTCTTTCCTGGACTTTACACATCAACAAAACTAAGAGTAGGTTAGGAGAAATTGTATAAAAAACGCATATAAAAATCAGTGGTGTGTCTAGGGCTGTGCTTGAGCCGCCTCTGCAAAAAACTACCTCTTTTATTTATATTTTTGTAAAAAAGGTATTTATAATAATAGACGTTAGTTGGGAAATGTATTTATCAAACTTAATAGTAAATAAAAAAATTATTTTTTTTAATTAAACAATTAACAAACAATTAATAATTAGAAATAAACATTTGGTAATAATTATTATACATATTTTGTAAAATATTTAATTTAGTAAATATTTAACATGGCCTCCTCCTTCTTGAATACAAAAATATAAATAAAAGAGGTAGTTTTTGCAGGGGCGGTTCAAGTAAAGCCCCAGGTACACCACTAATTTTTATATGCGTGTTTTGTACAATAACTCCTTATCTACTCTTAATTTTGTTGATATGTTGAGTTCAGGACGGACGAATTGCTCTAGAAATTCAGTTAAAAAATTGTAAATAGCTCGTTAACTAAGAAAGATACAAAGTTCATTTGGCTATAAAAAAATTTTGCAACTTCATAGTTTTTTTTTATTTTAAGATCTTCTTTATGTCAAAAAAAATATAGGGGTGTTAAAAGGTACCCAACCCCCAACTTTTTTAAAGGGGTCACTTTAAATTTTTTTCTCCTTAGAATATTGGGCCTTCAAATCTACAGCACTGGCAAAAATATCGAAGAAGAAATCGCAACAGCAAACTTTTTACAAAAAAAGAAAACGTTTTTCTGAATATTAGTTTAACACCCTGTAACTTTGTTGTTTCTGATATAGGTAAATCTAGCTAAATACATTATTTTTTGGTAATCTATCTGAGGATGAATTTATGACATATCTTTTTAAAACACTCTGTATAAAGGACCTTTTTCTTTCTTTTTCTACTTTTAATCTAAGCAATTCACACATGGCTACCGCAAGTTTAGGTAATTTAAGTTTTTAATATTAATTAAAATCTATTATTTTGTATACTTTGTATTGTGTGTTCTACTTAAATATAAATTATCTATTACGTTAATAATTGATTTTTACCGTTTAGTATTATTACCTATTTTTTTCAATTAATAGATGTTGATACGAAAATATTACCCAATTTTTTCCATAAACAAAGTAGCATGAACTACTCTTCAAAATTAAATATTTCTTACTAGTTATCCCATAGAAAATACTGCAGAATTATAAGTTAAAACATTGGTAATGGATAGAGAAATTATACAATTTCTACTGACTTTCATATTACTGAATGCTGATTCTTTAAATATTTCAGTTGAAGAATATTGAAATGATGTTGAAATATGTACCAAGACAATTTTAAAATCACATTTTAACCTCGAGGATGGTATTATTCTTGTTAATACAAATATTAAAACTAAATATCCTGTGACACATTACTGTACAAATTTAAAAATAAAAAAAATAATTAACAGAAAACAACCTGATTTATATATAATATTGGGACCTACATCTCAAGCTCTAGACGTCTTATATTCTTCAGCACTGCTCATTTCTCAAAAGAAGTTTATTATATTTGTAGACGAAATTGGTACAGATTTTCTAGAAGTTCTAGATAAATACTTCATTTATAATGTTCTGATTGTAACAATAAACAATTATTCAGTATTCAGTTTAAGTTGTTCATCATCCGGGAAGTTATACAGCGTCCTAATAGGTTCGGGTTCCAAATTATTCTTTGAAAAGAGAATATTTTAAGGCTGCATCAAACCTCTTAATAATCTCAAAGTGTTATATGCAGTTGCACCCCCTTACGTCATTAGCAGTTCTACAGGAATCCAGATAGAGTTGGTAAATATGTTGGCTGCAAATTTGAAGTTGAAGCTTGAATATGAAAAGGTTAAACCTCCTACAACTGCTCTTATAATTGCAAAAGAATATAGAACTCGAAATTATGACATGTACGTATCGAAAATATGCGATAGAGTGGATGGCGATCTTCAAACTCAGAATACTTTTGGATTAACACAAGATAAATTGGTTTTTATCGCTCCTAATCTGGTAATATACAACAGATGGGTGATTTTTACTAAGGAATATAATCGCCTTGTATGGTGGCTTTTATGTGGATCATTTGTGCTTTTATATGCTTTATTTTATTTGATGTCGAACATTTTTAATGGGAGAAATGTTGGATCTATATTATACATCCTTTTTAGTGTTCTCTTTGAAGGCAGTGCAATCATCCATGCAAAAACACTATCATTATAGTTTTATTTTTAAAATACCTCTTCTTCAGTTTGATCATTACTACTGTATACAAAAGCAAAATGTTCGATTTAATGATAGCTGATAATAGTTACCAACTTATAAATTCTAGAGCTGATATTTTAACGTCTTCATTTAAAATTGCTTTGCCAGATCCATCAATCATTGAAATGTTTAAAGTTTCTACTGATCCATTTGAATTGAGTATATCAAAAGCAGATCTCGTGTATTGTTTACGGGATTATTTGGAATGCGTTAACCAAACTGCTTTTGATAAAAATTTAATTACATCTAGATTTGTTAAACAATTACAGTATTACATTCCAATTTATTACCTTGATAAAGATGGTAAATCAATGCTGAACAAGAAATTGATGAACTTGTATGAGACCGGCTTTGTGACATACATTTCTGATAAGTTTAAAAGAAAATATAAGAAGGCAATGTACCTTGCTAAGGTGAAAAGTTCATGTAAACCTTTGACTTTAAAAGTTTACCAATCTACCTTTATTATGTACTTTTGTTGTGTTGTAATTTGTTTCGTTGTATTATGTTTAGAATTTTTTGTATGTTTTGTTATGCGAAAATATTATGTAGTGAAAATAATAAAAACTAGTCCTATGCAACTCTCTGGAGTTGATGGATAGATATTGTTATAATATTTGTAAATGCAAAATGATAATTAAATAAAATTTTATGAATATTATCTTTACGGTGGTCACAATGGCGTTAAATAATTAGAACAGCCAGTATGTGAAAAAGATGTACAAACTTTCACAAAGTTCAAATTATTGGAAATTGGAAGTCGAAAGAAAATCATTACTACCAACATGAAATTAAGGAGGTCCCTTCGCCACCAATGTTAAATAAAAAATATTAGATTATGACTAAAATTAATTTTTTTCTAATAGTAGATGTCCTTATTTATCTAATAGTGAACTTTTAACTATACCTTACCGTGCAAATTTTTGAGTAAATTTTTTTTTAAAAATGTGTACAGTTTCTTATGAGAAAGTTAGACTTCAACAACAATTTTCAAATTATAATTAATTTTACTATTATCTATTGATTAGATGGAGTAGAAAAAAACTAAAAATAAGGTTTTTGAAATATTCAGGTTTTGCTTTTTACAATAAAATATATAGGTTACCGTGGAATTTATTGAGAAATTATTATTAAAAAATCACAAAAAATTTTCAACTAGGTTACTTGAAAATTTTTTGTGATTTTTTAATATTAATTTCTCAATAAGTTTCACGGTTTACTATATATTTAATTGTATAAAACAAAATCTAAATATTTCAAAAACCTTATTTTTAGTTTTTTTCTACTCCATCTAATCAATAAATAATAGTATAATCCGAGAATTGTTGTTGAGGACTTACTTTCTCGTGAGGCACTGTACAAATAATCACATTTTTAAAAAAAAAAATTCTCAAAAATTTTCAAGGTAAGGTATAGTTAAAAGTTCAGTATTAGATAAATAAGGACTTCAACTATTAGAAAAAAATTAATTTTAGTCATAATATAATAACTTTTTTTTTAACATTTGAGGCGAGAGGTGTGGCGAAAGGACCTCCTTAATTAAAGTAAAAGTAAGATATAAAAAACTTGTACAACAGGAATCTTATTGCAAAATATCACAAAATGTTAAATAAAAATTATGCGAAGTAATATTAATTAAACCTAAAATATCTACATAAGAATATTAAATATTAGTTATTGTAACATCACAATATTTCGTCATAAATGATTGGTTCAATCATATATATTATCTACTAGCTATAGTTTGGGACACACTAAGAATGCAGTATGGCCAGGCATATGCAAAGTATTTATAATGAGAAAACGGCACACTGTCCCAACGTCTTTCCGATAACTGTGATAGGGTCGGCTCGTAGTAGTTAATGGAGATAGAAGGTAGGGAAACGCTTTGCACCTTTTTCAAACATTCAGAACGGTATCACCACAGTGTATCCACTCTTACCGTCAAGGCATTGTATAAAGAACTAAATAGTAGTCTCACCTTATGGAAGTTTCATTGGAGCGAAATGGATACTGCTAATAGATGGCGCTAGTGAATATGGATAAGTCGATATTCCTTTGCAGTGGGCGGAGTTGAGGGTCCAGCAGAAATTTTTAAGAATGACTGAGACCGATCGATAAATTTCTATTTTTAGCTCTTGGATGAAATTTTATACACTCGTGATTGAATGTTTGGACTATTTTCTGTTTGTTATTGTGCGTTAGTGCGTCTACGGGTAGTAGGTATTGTGAATGAGTTGTGTTTATGTTTTATTACTGAATTATTTTACTGTTAATAAAGGAACGAGTTCCCAAAAAAAAAATTGTGTATTTATAACTGTTTTGAAATTAATAAAATAGAAAATATGCTTTTGTTTTTCGTTTTCTTTACAGGTTTTATCCGAATTAATTTAAAATAAATTATATAATATTAATAATAATAATAGGTACATTTCTTAAGTGTTGCAAAAATTGTATTTTTAATTTAAATACCTAAGTACTTAGCATAAGTAATTATAAACAACAGGTTATTTCTTTAATCTGGTGCGTAACAATGTAATAAAAAAACCCTTAAGATGGATGGTAAATAATATAAATGAATTCTTAATATTGAAGTAAATAACACAATGGGTTCTATAAGGATTATTGGTTGGGGTTCGGCTTTGGGGGATAGGGTCGAAATATTAAAACTAAACTTGGTATATGGATGTATTATCCCATAAAAATAAAAATCGCTTTAAAAAATTCACCCCTCCCCACTCCTATCTGATATGGTGAGGGTGGCATTTCCAAAAAATCAAGTCAAGAACTTTTTAAATAAAACAGTTGAAGACTACGATTTTTTATACATAAAAACACAAAATTCCAATTTTTTTGAAAAAAAATTTCCAAATTTTTTTTGAACTTAGAAAAAATTTCGACTTTAATCTTCATAGTTCGGAAGTGTGGGCTGGCATTTAAAAATAGTTACAGACGAGATAAAAATCTTATTTTTGGCATATTTACAATAGAAATGATTTGCAACATTTTTGTATAAATATCTTACCACCACCATCCCCTAGAGGGAGATGGAGGGTGTGGCATCCCCAAAAAATCAAGTTAGAACAAAAAAAAAAGCAGTTAAAATCTACAATTTTTTATACATATAAACCCAAAATTTCAATTTTTAAATCAAATTATTAAATTAAATTATTTTTTTAATTTCTTTATTATATTTAATATTATTTCTATTTTTTCTAACAATAATCAATTTAAGATATCTACTTTGATTGAGCCAAAATATTTAGTAGGGGAAGTTTTTAATATTATACAAACATACTGTGTGTCCAAAAAAAATATATGAATTTGGCTAAACATTAACCTTTATTTCTAAAAACAGGAGAACAATGTTACTTGTAAAATGTATCTAGAATTAATATTACCACCATCAAATCCTGGACCTGGACACAATTTTTTTTAGAAATACGGGAGAAGCGGAAGTGACATTTTTACAAATGAAATTAATTTCAACAAATTTATTTGAGATCATGTACAAGATTATTCATTATTAAAGACACCTTTTATAACCACTATTGCATATTCAAAAAAAGCTTTAAATAAAAGTTTGTGAATATGACTGACTTTTTTTAAATATGCCATAAAAACACGTATTCAGATTTCACGGAATACACCACAAATAAACTTTTTTAAATGGGATACCCTCTATGTTATTAAATTTCTGGGATATTTTTTTTCTAATTTCACAAATGTATATTATTGATAACCCTATCTTATACCGTCTGTTCTCGAGTAATTTAACGTTGATAATGTAAACATGAAAAAGTTAACATTATTAAAGTAAAAGCTATGAAAATCACAACTATTATGTTTGATAATAAAATAATCCAAATAAGTAGTTTACAGTGAGAAAGAAAAAGTGTAAATATTTATAAGATATTCGACATAGATTATCTATGATATTCGACGTTTAATTAATCAGGAAAGAATAAAGATCATTTCGAAATTTGAATAATATATATATCCTGTGAAATATGCACACCACTGATATGGCCATTTGATGACATTTTTACAAAATTCGGTCAATGTAAACATTATACAATAATAATTATAGCATAAAGGGAGGATAATTTATAATGAATAACCCTGTTAGGTACCATAAATTTTCAGTAAAAAAAATTGAATTCGCACTTTTTTACGTAGATTAAAAAAAATGTAATTTGGTGCGTTTTTATGGTGCAGACATTTTGCGACACACTGTATATTCAAATCCAAAATGATGTATTTTCTTTTAACACATACCTAATACAAATTTATTAGCAAAATTTAAATACTTGTTATTTTCGGTATATTTCTCCTTTAGACACACACATTTTTAGTTTCATTGTCAAAAGATTTAAATAAAATTACCGGACCTTATAATATTCTATTATAATTTGATGATCCCGAGTGGCCATAGCAAAAAGACGAAATTTGAGCATGAAGATTTAGATGTTATTAACGTAAAATTAATGTTTTGAAATTAATTTAAGTTTTAAGAATTTAGAAAATAAAATTAAATAATAAAAAAAAGTAACCACTCGGGGGTTTGAACTCGGAACCCTTCGATTCGTAGACAAGTACTCTAAATTTTCGTTATGAAGGCTTATGAAAAAGTTTTACTTTTTAACGCTGATAATCAGACTGCTTTTAGTTTCATTAAAATCTCAGTTTATTTCTAAATATAGACGAATATCTTGTGGAATGCTATTATTTATTGATTTTTATTTATATTTAATCTAAATAACTAAAAAAATATATACTGACAATTAATTTGACGAAATTGTCACTTATAAAGTTCTAACATCTGACGTAGAGGGCGTATCTAACCAGTAAATAAAATCGTTAGTTCAATGATTTTACCAATAGATGTCGGGCGCGATTGCCTCCAATAACTTTTACATGGCGATTATCCTACTATATAGTTCTTTATACAATGGTCAAGGTCAATGCGTGTTAAGTTTCATACCCCCGCCGTTGTGAGGTCGCCACCGTCACCGTTTATAGGACACGCTTGTGCAGCGTTGCCAATAGCAGAAATTTTACCCAATTTTTGGGTATTCTTGATTAACTAATGAACTTTTATGAATTGATTTATAATTTATTAATGCAAGATTATAGCGTTTTTGCCATTTTGCATTAAGTAGTATGTACTGTTGCTAAAAAGTCATGTTTTAAAATATTTTCATCGTCACTATTGCATTTATTGGTGACTTCAGGCGTTCGGGGTAAGTGATGAGAATTATCACCATTTGACCGTGACAACACTGCCTACTTTTTGTACTTGATACCTACATAACCACAAATATTTCTTATTTCTTTATTATTTTTATGAATGTTGTGAGTGATTTGTTTGTTTTTGAACTGATTGTTAAATAATAAAATGGAAATAAAACAGAAAGTCAATAGTGAAATGGAAATAGAACACAAAATTAATACCACAGCATAAAGTTTATTTAATAGGCAGTGTCGCGATTAGTTTCGGCTTACATTGGTCAGTGACCACATGGAGGAAGGATTAATGTGACCACATTACATTTGAGATAATGGATAAACTTTCAGTCATGATTGTAAAGTGTAAGTGTTCCCGGTTCCAGGTTGTTACATTATTTTAATGGTAAAATACGTCTTCTTGCTAACACAAGATACCTATAATATAAGAAATAAGAAAAACCAGATAAAACTGAAAAAATGAAAACACTTGAATCTTTTTTATTTTATCTTAATATTTTGCATGTACCTATTATTATTGCCTTATTTTTAGCTATTTTTAGTTTTAGTTAAAATAATACCCGAAATTTACATTTTATAAATAAATCGTTATAAATGGTTTTATTTCACAAAAAAATGTAGCACCAAAACATGATTAAACCATTATAGTTACGATTTGTTTGCTTATTGTAATCAAATCTCAACTTTAATGGCACACATAATAACCACGTTTAAAGCGTGCTTCCAAAAAATTATTCAGACATTCAAAAATTGCCGCCATCGTTTAGTTTAAACCCCCACCACTGTGAGGGCGCTGAAATCAGCTACGAAAATTATACATTGAGTGTACTGTCTATAAACAATATATAAAAGGTCTGTGGGTATCACTGGGGTGGTTGTTGTCAACCCAATATGGCCGATCCGCGAGATACGGACTTTTTTTTTAATGCAACCCAAACGTTCTATTTTTAGAATATTTAAGTTATTTATTAATTGATTTAAAATGGATGAATAAGGTTATAATAACTAATTTTCAGTAATTCCACCGAATTCTGATGCATTGGCAGGATTCCCCACTCGACCATTCACTGTTGGGTTCTAATTAACAGTGCTGTTCCTAAAGTGGCGCTGGGAAACAGTAACAAAGCCTACACAGAACACGAAGCTAATGGCCTTAGTAGTCGATGCCAATGACACCAAAAAACAGATCCCTTTTGAGTTAAAAACAGTTTTAATGTCATATTATTACTTTTGTGGTTTGTCCCATCATCGCCCCACGATTTTATATCAAAAATATGCCATTAACTTTTTACTCAAGGGGAAGCTATCGCCCACTTTGAGAATCGCTAATCCAGACCATCGAGGTTTAAAAGTAACTTTTTACTTTTAAAAAGTAGATTTTATTGATTATACAGTTAATTTTTATCTTTAAAAAGTATTTGTTGATGTTTGAAAGCATATTTTGCTATTTAGGGCTGGTTTCTTCGGCTGATAGGGCTGTTTTTCTATAAACAAATGTCAAATTTCCAGTTTTATCGAGCATAACTGAACTTTATATTTGTTCATAATGAAACCAGTCCTGTAAAAATAGAAAAATTAATTTTTAAGCCGTGCATTAGAAACTATATCTGTATCCCAGAGGCAAACTATGCCAAGTCCAAATTTATGAAATATGAGATAAATATGTCAAGTCCTTTGAAATTTTACAAAGAATCCATTGCAATTTGTTGGGCCTGAGTCCGAACAATACTTTAAAAGATAGCGGTGTATGAACTATGCCAAGTCCTTCATTACGTAAAGCCCAAACAAACTGGCTTACTTTACCTCAAGATTGCTCGCTGCGTGTAGATTCCAAGTCCAGTAGTATTTCAAGACCCGCGCTATTAACAAGGCATACGGCATATGTGACTGTGTTTACAAGTTGTGACTTGAATTATTGGCGGATAAAAATAATAATAGTACTGTTTGTTATAAGTATTTCTGAAGACCGTATCGATGTCGAACAGGGCCGCAAAAATACTTAGCCTGCTAGGTAGTAAAAAATACATGGTGATGTCGTCCCAAATAACCAGTACAATCAAACGGATGGCCAAGAAATTGGTAAGATTGTGATTTTATTAGTAGCTCTAAGAGCATAATATTTATTAAATTAGTTTTTTTAATTGAAAGTGTTTAATGTTTTTTTTTTAATAATAACATTTTGAGACTGCTAAAATTAGGGACTTAGCATATTTACAGTTAGCAAACTAAGTTTCCTATGCTAAATAAAATATTGATTTTTCTTTTAATTTACTCAGAACCAGTAAAATAAAATTTTTTATTTAAATATTTCAGATAAATCTGAAAAAAAAAATGGCCGATACTACAAGCTCTGCTTCCGAGAGTTACTGCCAAACTCCTCAGGAGAATGTAGAACTTGAAGTAGTAGGAGAAGAAATTCAGAAAAATGTAGGTAAAATGTGTTTGCTTCTACAATATAAACATATCTCTACTTTTTAATAATCATTGTTGTAGGTGATTGTCCGATAATAATACATAGGCGTAGAACTTGATTTTTTAAATAATTGCACCTTTAAAAATTCTACGCCAATGGCAAAAGAGGGGTTTGAGTATGAAATTTGGATTGGGTACTCATTTACTACAAAAAAGTACCCTTGATAACACTCGATTTACTCTCATGGTTTTGACAAAGTTTGTAATTTAATAATTATTGTTTATGTTCTAAAATTACTAAAATGCAAATTTCGTCAAAACCATGAGAGTAATTGAGTCTTATCAAGAGTAAATGAGTTGCGCAATCTAAATTTCATAGTCAAACTCCTTTTCTGCCATTGGCGTAGAATTTTTAAAGGTGCAATTATTTAAAAAATCAAGTTCTATGCCTATGTATTATAATCGGACAAAATTTTAATACCATTTTTTTTGCCACATAAAACTCTACCAATATACCAAATTTCAGCAAAATCGCATATGTCGTTTTAAATTTATATGGGAAAAACGATTTAAAAACTGTAACTTCAAGGCCCTCTGAAGCCCAAACGAAGCAACTTTGTACAAAGGTAATTTTACTTAAATCGACTTATTTTGGTCTAAAGAATATGTGGTATGTTTTTGTAAAGACCTTTTACCCTGTATATACTTTTACTTAGCAACTAGCTATACACTGGTAAAGTGCAATTGCATCATAAATGAACCGTAAAAAAATTCTCTTAACAGTAACCAAAATTAGGTACTACAATACAAATATTTAAGTCCGGCCCAGAACATCTCCCTACTCCTTCCAGTCAGTTTTTGGGTTTTGGCAAAATTTGCGCAGCGGAAAATGCTTTCTATGTTACCTCTACCCTTTCTAACCTCTTTGAAGGTACAAAGGACCTTTTTCTTTCTTTTTCTACCTTTACTCCCAAATAACTCACACATAGCTACCGCAAGTTTAGGTAATTTACGTTTTTAATATTAAATAAAATCTATTATTTTTGTATAATTTGTGTTGCCTGTCCTACTTAAACATGAATTATCTATTACATTAATAATTGAATATTATCTTTACGTATTATTACTTATATTAATAGATGTTGATACGAAAACAATAACAAATTTTATCCATAAAGTAGCATGAACTACTCTACAAAATTAAATATTTCTTACTAGTTATCCCTTAGGAAATACTGCCGAATAAGTTAAAACATTGATAATGAATAGAAAAATTATACAATTTCTACTGACTTTCATATTACTGAATGCTGATTCTTTAAATATTTCAGTTGAAGAATATAGAAATAATGTTGAAATATGTACCAATACAATTTTAGAATCATATTTTAACCTCGAGGATGTTATTATTCTTGTTAATACAAATATTAAAACTAAATATCCTGTGACACAATACTGTACGAATTTAAAAATAAAAAAATTAATCAACAGAAAACAACCTGATTTATATATAATATCAGGACCTACATCTCAAGCTCTAGAAGTCTTATATTCTTCAGCACTACTGATTTCTCAAAAGAAGTTTATTATATTTGTAGACAAAATTAGTACAGATTTTCTAGAAATTCTAGATAAATACTTCATTTATAACGTCCTGATTGTAACAACTAACAATTATTCAGTATTCAGTTTAAGTTGTTCATCATTCGGAAAATTATACAGCGTTCTAATAGGTTCGTGTTCCAAATTAATCTTCGAAAAAAGAGTATTTCAAGGCTGCATCAAACCTCTTAATAATCTCAGAGTGCTATATGCAGTTACACCTCCGTACGTCATTAGCAGTTCTACAGGAACCCATATAGAGTTGGTAAACATGGTGGCTGCAAATTTGAAATTAAAGCTGAAATATAAAAAGGTTAAACCTCCTCCAACTGCTTTTGTAGTTGCGGAAGAATTTAAAACTCGAAACTTTGACATGTACGTATCGAAAATAAGCGATAGGGTGCATGGCGATCCTACAATTCAAACCACTTTTGGATTAACACAAGATAAATTAGTTTTTATTACTCCTAATCTGGTAAAGTACAATAGATGGGCAATTTTTACTAAGGAATATAGTCGCCTTGTATGGTGGCTTTTATGTGGATTATTTGTGCTTTTATATACTTCATTTTATTTCGTATCGTACTTATTTAATGATAGAAATGTTGGATCTATATTATATATCCTTTTGAGTGTTCTCTTCGAAGGCAGTGCAATTATCTATGCAAAAACATTATCATTTAAAGTTTTATTTTTAAATTACCTTATCTTTAGTTTGATCATCACCACTGTTTACAAAAGCAAAATGTTCGATTTAATGATAGCCGATAATAGTTTCCAACTCATAAATTCTAGAGCTGATATTTTAACTTCTTCATTAGCGATTGCTTTTCCAGATCCAAACATCGTTGAAATGTTCAAAGTTTCTACTGATCCAATTGAATTGGGTATGTCAAAAGCAAATATCGTGTATTGTTTACGGGATTACTGGGAATGTGTTAACAAAACTGCTTTTGATAAAAATTTAATTACATCCAGATTAGTTAAACAGTTACAGTATTACGTTCCAATCTATTACCTTGATGAAGATGGTAAATCGATGCTGAATATTTTGCATAATGATCATTATGATATGCTGTATTTAGTTATAGTTTTCCGATTGGGACATCCTATATTTACAGTATTTAACAAGAAATTGATGTACTTGTATGAGACCGGCTTTGTGAAATACATTTCTGATAATTTTGAAAGAGAATATAAGAAAGCAATGTACCTTGCTAAGGAGAAAAGTTCATGTAAACCGTTGACTTTAAAAGTCTACCAAACTACCTTTATTATTTACTTTTGTTGTGTTGTAATTTGTTTTGTTGTATTTTGCTTAGAATTTCTTGTATTTTTGTAATGCAATTCTCTGGAGTTGATGGATTATAATATTTGTAAATGCAAAATAATAAACAGGCCTTTATTAAAGTAAATTTTCTGAATATTGTCTTTACGGTGTACATAATGGTGCAAATAATTAGTACGATTTATATATGAAATATGTGTACAAACTTTGACAATGTAATGTACAAATTATTGGAAGTTGGAAGAAAAAATCATTAGTCCCTGTCAACATGAAATTAATTGAGATAAAAGTAAGAAATATAAAACTTTGAAAACAGGAATCGTATTGGAATATATGACAAAGTATACATTTAAATTCTGGAAAGTAATAATACTGAAACCTAAAATAAACTCTCTTTTATAAGAATATTAAATAACAGTTATTGTAACATAACAATTTTTCGTTATATATGATTGGTTTTATCAAATATCTACTATCTAGATAATAACAATGCTTTACAAATTTGTTGACGAAAAACATGAAAAGGGAAAAAAGCAACCATTATTAAATGGAATGGTAGGAAATTTTGTTGAAACCCTAAAAGGAATAAAACTCTAAAGAAACAAATAAAAGAACAGATTATCAATACAAAAGTTGTAATGAGTAGCTGAAACATAATAAAAATGGAAGATTTTGTAATTTATAAAATCACTATTTTGACTTGAAACCGATACCTTAAAAAGGTTGAAGTTAAAACAGAATATGTATTCATAAATTCTGAATTCAAATGAAGTAGTATTATGAGTCCAGATGCTGCGCTCCAAGCGCCGCGTAGCGAATGAAAAATATTCTTTATTAAACTACATTATTTTCCTTGGACTTTTTTTAAATTGTTTAATTTATTTAAGTTAAACGGTTAATTATTATTAAATTAAATAGTTATATTTGATTAAATTACTCGTATATTTTAGTCACTATCAGTTTAAAATCGTTCGTGTAATATAGATACATTGAGAATCAACCTTCGTACAGTCAGAAAACAACGTAGAAAGAACAAACTAGAATAGTCTCACCAAAAGTCTCTTTTAGCAGCAACGGTCGAATACCTGATGGTGTGAAGATGGTTTGGTCCCCAATTTCTTCGGGTGATTCTCTGGACTTGAGCGACCGGTCAATTCTATTCAACAGGCGGCTCTAATGAATTTACTTCTTTTCTACCTATGTGGAAAGATATGATTAATATTAAGAAAGTGAAACAATAGATTCCAGGGGGTTAGATGTATTTTCTCCTTTTTTTACCCTAACTAAATTACATTGTGAACTGTTGGATTCAGCATAAAAAATGTTTAAAACTTACTATTTAATTGTTATACTCAATGAGTATAAGTGAAATAAAAACTGATAATGATCTAGTTACATCTGACAAAACAATAATTACTAATTCCTTCAACAAATACTTTACAAATGTTGGTAAATCACTTGCAAATAAGAACAAACATAGAAGAAATAAACAACAAAAATTCCCTAAAACGAATTTAAAAAATTCATTCTTTTTAAAGGACACTACAGCAAATGAAATTATTGATATAATCAAAGGCTTGACAAACAAAAAAAATCCAGGATTAGATACTACCAGGGCAGATGATTTAAAACATATTTCTTCTAAAATTGCAGAACCACTAGCTTATATCATAAATATGGCATTTAAAATAGGTCGGTGTCCAGAAGCGTTTAAATCCGCCGTCGTAACGCCGATCTACAAAAATGGAGATAGGCTGGATGTGACCAATTACCGTCCTATATCACTAATCTCGTGCCTTGCGAAAATATTTGAGAAGCTCTTGAAGAAACGTATTAACTCGTATCTAATAAAATATAATATATTGTCGACAAACCAGTTTGGTTTTACAGAAGGAAAATCAACAAATGATGCACTTGTATCACTTACAAACGACATTGTCAAAAGTATCGATTCTGGTTTATCTACCATATGTATATTTGTAGATCTAAAGAAAGCTTTTGATACCATTAGTCACATTCAGCTTATGGAAGTTTTGAAAGGAATAGGATTTAGGGGAACACCGTACAAGCTTATGGAGAGTTATCTTCAAAACAGAAAACAATGCGTTAAAATAGTCGACACTAAAAGTACCTTTGTAACGAGTGAATACGGTGTTCCTCAGGGAACTGTCCTGGGTCCCTTGTTGTTTAATCTATATCTAAATGACATCTTTAAAATAAATAGCAAGGGTCGCATAGTGATGATACGGCAATAATATATCAAGACAAAAATTGGCAAGATCTAAAAAGTCTAGTAGAAATAGATTTCGCAAACATAATCAAATGGTTTGATCAAAAAGAACTTACAATCAATACAGACAAAACTCACTTCATGGCATTTGCTTCATATTCCAGTTATTTGCCCCAATATACTACTTTGTCAATAGATTTGGATGGAGAAAGGGTGGACATTAGATCTGTTTCGAAGATAAAATACTTAGGATTAATACTAGATTCACACCTAAAATGGGATGTACACATCGAATATTTACTAAAAAAACTAGGAACAGTCAATTATAAATTAAAATATTTAACTAGGTATTACGATACTGAGCAACTGAAAATAATATATTACTCACTATTTCAAAGCCATTTATCTTATGGAATTGTTGCCTGGGGCGGTACATATAAGGTACACATACACAAACTAGAGGTTATTTAAAAGTATATACTCAAAATAATATTCAAAAAACCAAGATTATATACTAGTAGTACACTTTATAGTGAAACCAAAATTCAAGATATTCGACAATTATATTTTGTAAATCTCGTTATACATCAACACAAAAATCGAAAGGAATTAACCAAAATTCATCACCAATACCCTACCAGGTATAGGTCAAATGATGTTTTCTCCGTCATCAGGGCAAAAAAAGATTTATTACAAAGATCATATCTACATTTAGGGCCAAAATGTTATAACCTAGTCCCCTCAGAAATAAAAAATCTTAATCACTTTAACTTATTCAAAAAACTTGTCAAAAAGTGGTATAATACATTAAGTTGCTCAGATATCCACGTCTTAATTGAGGGTAAATAAATAAATTAAAAAAAAAATAATTGAAAATAAAAAGAAACAAAAAAACAGAAACAGAAAATCTAAAAAAATCATTTTTTTTTTGTTCCTCTTATAATCATGTATTACGTGTCCCAATAAGTTATAATAATTAATTATTATAGTTATTATTATTACTATTGTTGTATTGTTATTGGTATTATTATTAGTATTTTTAATTATTATTATTATTATTATTATTATTATTATTATTATTATTATTATTATTATTATTATTATTATTATTATTATTATTATTATTATTATTATTATTATTATTATTATTATTATTATTATTATTATTATTATTATTATTATTATTATTATTATTATTATTATTATTATTATTATTATTATTATTATTATTATTATTATTATTATTGTTATTGTTGTTATTATTATTATTATTATTATTATTATTTTTATTAGATGGTTATTAGTATTAATCTATAGTGAGTCCTGCAATATGTTAGTTCGATGAAAGTATTATAAAAACACTTGTCAAAGACACTAATTATTTATAGTTAATCCCACGCACAGACTTGCTCTTCTGTGGGACTATCATATTTATTTTTCCTAATATTACTTATATTTTACATTGTTAACCTTATATAATATGTAATTATTTGGTAAGTAAATATTATTATTATTATTATTATTATTATTATATTATTATAATGAATATTTTATTGAACAAATCTTTGTTACCTTAAGCAATTGCTTGAAGCTTACATATACCTTACCTAAATATTTAATTACCAGAAAAACAATCAGTAGTAACCAACCCTTACGTTGGCGGTGATATAATTTAAGAAAACCCAAAAAAAAATAATTTCATTAATAAAGTTCCACTGCAAGGTGGTTCCACCTCTAAAATAACCTAATCCCATTAAATCTATGAACTGAAAGAAACATTGAAAATAAACTATTAAATAATTACTTAGCTTAATTAACACAAAATGGTGGTCGAGCAGAATACACCGGTGAGTCTCGGGATCCACACGAAGTTAAACTTCAGCGCCACATCTCATGGAAATCAGGTATACGAAAAAAATACATCTCATGGAAATCGGGTAACTTAACCTAAGAATTTCATCCAACTCTTTATCTACCTGAGATGGAAGTTACTCTCCTCCTTTCCCTAACTACGCCGCCGGTTCCCGGTCATCAAAGAAAGAAAGGAAAACTCGAACTCGAAAGGCTGAAGGATTACCTTCTCGGCTTTGAGCTCCCTGCTCAAAAATCTCGTCGAAATGAGCTGCTTCAATAAAAATGCTTGTAAAGAATGAAAATCCCTTTTTGAAAAAGGCTGGAATCAAAATTCCTTAAGTGTTTGAATAAATCCCGCTCTGCGGTTACCTCAGGTGGCTTTTCTAGCCAAGTAGAACTAAGTTTAAAGCCACGTTCTTCTTCAATGAATCCATCATGACAAAGCGTCTACATGAAGTAAACTCGAGAAAATTCGAGACGATGGATATTACAGAAAAAAGACACAATCCGAAAACCATATGGTACCAACATCAAAAATTTTAAAATTTCTAATTCTAACTATGCAACGACAGAGACGTACTCACTCAAAGCCCTACTTAAACTTTTTACAGAAACCCTTGTAAATATATGTTGACATTATGGAATATACACTACACTATTTCTTTACACTGCCTTTGTTTAATATCCCAATTTATTAATTACCCTTATTTTAAACCCCTTACTAACAATTTATTAATCATCCAAAACTTAAGAACGACCCTGGTGAATTATTGCTAAAATGCTTGCGAATGACCGTAACTATTCGATAGAAATAATATAATATCTCTAGTTGAATAGGCAACATCTAATACTTCTGAATAATAGACCACATACAATGACCCATCGAGTGTATTGTGTTGACTACATTGTTTATTGAACGAAATAAATATTATAATTTTAAATGACTTTAATTACTTACCCTAACAATTTA